TATATATATATATAGACGTTCCACTTCCTGCAGTGCATTGATAATCCACCAGAGGGCAGCATACAGGTCTCACATGAAGTAAAACAGGTTTTTGAGGAAAATATTGACCACATTGATAAAATATAGGTCAGAATCCTGTGTAGCAAATTTGATACAAATGCTGATACATTAATGACAATTTATTAAGTTTAAGCCAAGTTTGTACTTTTACAAATTCTGTTTCCATCATTTCCAACATCTGTTCTGTATTTTTACCCAAGCAGAAAAATGTGGTGTCATCTGCAAAAAAAATCACATTTCATGTTTCTGCTGGAAATGTTAGAAATGAATTGACTTCTTGTGCTCGTCTGAATGCCTCAACAGCACAATGGTCTGATGTTACTAAATAATACTATAATGTCAGGTAGTTTTGAACAATGAGGTTCATCGTCCAACAAAACCTACAGAAATTTTAGCAGCTGAAGTCCTTTTCATGGATTAAGCAGTGTAGTAGAATGATTTTATTTAAACATACCAAATATGCTAGAATGTCACAAATCTCAGACAACTTATTGTTTCCTATGAGTGACTTCAAAATCAATGTGAAGAAATCAGATCTTAGTTCRGTCATGCAAACATCCTTTCCATCTTGATTGATTTGTTTCAGGCTSCAAGATGTTGATGTTTGATGACTCCTAGTTGATGTCTACAGTTTGTTCTTGGATGTAAACGATATAGTGGTGCACGTTTTCTCCCTCAGCGAGGAGCATCAGAGCCTCCTCCACCACCATCAGCTGGTTCCCATCCACAGCCCCGTCTGCGCTCATCACCATCAGCTGGTCGCTACGCTCACCAACTTCCTGCTCTYGAGCCACCTGTAACTTTAATCATACATCAGTATAGTTTGATTCATGGCTCAGCTGAACACAACAAAGTCATGTGATGCTGTTTAGTGATCTGCTGGACTGAACACACAAACACACAGTAACAGGTACTAAATGGATGAACAGCACGTAACGTGTCCATTTTCTCCTGACAGAAGTCATCAACAGAGACCCTCTCTCATCGCGCTCACGTGTGATTTCAGAGAACAGGATGGAATTAAAAGAGGCGTTGAAAAAAAACTCGCCTGCTCTGATTCAAGCTACTAAAGTCTGCAGCAAGACCTGCAGAATAACTCTTGACCCTTTGTTATGCTACAGATCAAAATACGTCTTAAGCACATCTTTTTAGGGTTTTAAGTTACAAAATAGTCTGACTTTAATTATGATTGTATCTGCAGTTAGTCTCTGGGCCAATAAAGTTTGTTTTTACATCCTTCTCTGAACAAAGACTAATGAGCTTGCATGCTAAAAAAACACCCATTTGTAACATTCAGGGGCGTTTTTAGGCTCTTGAAACATCAGGGCCTTTAGCCCAGACCTCTTCTTCTTCCTCGTTCCTCTTTAAAAAGTGCTCTTTCACGTCTGTATTTATCCATTTTTAAAACTATTGTTATATGTTGTTTAGTTGATCAATATATTAGTTACTGGATAAAATAGATTTATATATAAAATGTGTAGGATATAACATCATGTGCTGTTATAACTAATTTCTGTCAGCAATAAGGAGCAGTTATAAAAACTACATGTTTTACAGTATGGTACATACTGTAAATATCATAGTAAATATCATTATAGTCTACATCAGGGGTGCCCAACCAGTTGCTCGCGGTCCCACCAGCTGATTCCCAGGTGCCTGTGCAGCACAACCTTGCCGCGGACTCGCGGAGCCTCCATCGCCGGCTCTGAGCATCACATCCCGGCGGTTTGAAAGCTCTGGTTCTGCCCTACAAAGTAAAACTTAAATGAAGTCTCTGCGACGTTCCTCCGCGGAGCTATAAGCAAAAAACCTCCAAAATACGCACCGTCGGACCTCCCGCCGGGGTGGTTTTAGCCCCCCTCCCCGGGCTAGGAGCATAGGATCCCGGAGTGGATGATCGGGTTTTAAAGCTCTGGTTCTCCGCTACAACCTGGAGGTGGTTGCAAGTTCCTGGGATGTTCCAGCACAGGGCTGCTTGTGCTGATGCAGGGGAATAAAAGGAAGAGATCCAGTGAGGTGGAACTGTGGTCCTACGTCCAGCACCCGCTCTCCTGTCTTGATTTAGCCAGAAAACCCTGGCGGGCGATATTTCTACAAAAATGCATAAAATTCTGAAACCCACCTGATGGATCACTTCCAGGCAATAAAAGGAACAGATCTGGTTCAGGTGAAACCGGTCCTGGAAACTCAGCACCGGCTTTTATAACAGCCTGCCCCCTGAACCACTGGCGGGCAATATTTCTGCAATGATGCATATAATTCAAAAACCCACCTGATAGAAATGTTCCAGGCCATAAAAGGAACAGATCTGGTCAGGTGAAACCAGTCCTGGAAGCTCAGCACCGGGTTTTATAGCCGCCTGCAAGAGTTTTATATTGTGTGCTTTGACTTTGAAGAAAAGGGCAGTACTCTTAGCCATGTTGACCCTGATAGTTTTTTGTTTTGTTTTTCCTCCTCTGTATGGAGAGAAGAGAGGAGAGTTCTTTGAATAAATGGAGACGAGTTCCTGTGCTCCAAAGTTATTTAACTCTGTGGTTCTTGCACTGGAAAGGGTTTCCAGCCCTCATAGCTCACATGTCACAGTGAGTACAAATTGATCCTTTTTGTTCGAGCATCACATTTAAGTTTCTCTGTCAGGAGTTAAGTAAGAATTTTATCATTTTTTGTAGGTAAATATATGGTTAAGTAGATAGTTTTGTTTGACAATACTTTAAATTAAATAAAACTAGCAACACATTACGTTCTGTTTTATTT